CATAACATCGGCCCCGAGGGTCATGGCGCAGAACTGGCGGGCAGGACAGGACGCACCAGGCCTCGAGCCGAGGTGCGGCCCTCGGGCAAGAGCGAGAATGGACGCCATACTGTCACCGACGATCAGACATCAATGGGATCTCTCAGGGAAAAATCGTGTAAGATGGAGTACACGCCAGACGAAGGCACGGCACCCCAGGGCTGTGATATGCTTCGGGGCACGGTACTTCTCGCGGTGGAAGACCCCCCAGGAGCACCCCGAGACCCCTCGTCCCTCCCGGCTTCCAGTAACTGGCAGCGTTGGCACCGAGACCTCCTCCGCGACATCCCCCCCCTCGAATTCCCCAGACAGCGGCGCCCGGCCGAGACGCGCCTCGAGGGCGCCGATCCTGAAAGAGCCCGCCGTTCCCCGAGAGCTCCAATGCTCCGAATGCTGGCGGTATGCTCCTGGATCTCTTCCAAAGGCGAGGTCTTGCGCGCGACGCCCTGCGTCGAGGCGTCGCAGGCCGGGGCCCGATTGCTGTGAGGTTGTTCAAGAAGAGGTGCGAAAAGAAGAAGGAAAGACTGGGCCCATCGGAGCTATCGAATAACTGGCGGCCAGAAGGTGGCCGAGTTCTCAGAATACTTGGACATGAACGCGCACGCAGCATTGAGGCAGCGTGGGGGCCTCTCTTCCCGACAGCGCCACAGACGCAAAGTGGCCCGCCAGTTGGGGGAGCTGTCGACCACTGCCTTGCCGACGCTCCAGAGCACGTCGCCCAGGTGCGATGCACTTCCCGCCCCGACTGAACTCCCGCGCCAAGGCCTCGGCAACCTCTGGATCGGCCCAAGCCGCGTGCGACCGACGCCCTTTCATCCATGATGTCGTTGACCTTGTTCTGACAACCCCCCTCCTCCGCATCAGTTAAAATCGCGACGATGGCATCGCCGCGTGGGATCGCAGCCCCAGCCCCCAGACAAGGCATCGCATCCCGACGCGCGATCGAGAAAAGACCATTCCCCAGGTTCGCTTCGAAAACCAACGACGCGACAACATACTGGCGCGCGTTGACAGACTGGGGCCATCATCGGCGCTGCCCCGAAACAAAGATAGACGAGGGTGCAGGGCATCAGGGGGGGCCAAAAACCTCCGAGACCTGCAGGTCCATGGCCTCCAGGGGTCGGGGAGCCCCGCGGCGTCAAAAACATCGTTCATTCCCGAGGCAAATGCATGCGCCGCGCCTTCGCCTGGAAGACCCAACCTCAAACAAAATCTGGCCGCGGGGGGGGGGGGGGCTGGGGGCTCGGGCATCGAAAAATTGCAGGAATCTGAGCGTCGAAAATCCAACGCTCCTTTGCCCCGTCGGCGACCCAGGCCGAAATCCGCCCGGCAATCTGTCCCCGATCAAGCCAGCGGCCAGATGGCGGGCCAATGCGCGCTGGTAGCCTGTTAGAACGCAGACGCGGGGCGCCGCGGGGCACGACGAGACCAACTTCCTCACGACTTCTCTGCGGCTGCTCCTTTGGCAAGACGATATCACGCGAAAGCCCCTCGCTGATCTCGGCGCCGCAGGCCCCCGACAACTCGCCCAATGGCCCCTGCTGGAAATCCGGCTGCGGAAGAGACGGCCCGTCCACGTCAAGAGGCGCCAGGTGGCACGGAGCCCCGGCGCGACCCTCTACCCCCTGGAGCGCGAAGAAGGCCCCCCGAGGGTCGTTCCTCTCAGGCGGGGGCCCCGCGCGCCATTCCCGGGAGGCTAGAATGTCATCTACGACCAGCGTAATGCAAGAAGATTGCCCGTTGCCAGCATCAGCGAGGCCATCGCCTCGCCCCAGCTCCGTCAGCGCCCGACTCAGCGCGGAGACCTTCTCACTAGCATGCGCCCGTCTCCTGGTGCGACTCTGCGCTGGCGCGACGCCCGCTGGGGCGATGCGGCCCGTCGTTCGCTGCAGCCGCTCGAGCTGCCGCGCCGTCGGCTCGGCCCCCCCCCCCGAGGCGCCGACCAGGCGCGGGGGAGTGCCTGGTCGACCAAGTCCACCATGACTTCCTCCGCAGAACGCGCCCCGCACGCGCCCTGCGGGACAGCATGTCGATCGCACTCTGGGGGTCGAGTTCCTTCGAGGTGTAGGCGGCCAACTCGGATGCAATCATCGGGCCCCCCTGGTTCTGGCGGATGCCGGGCAAGGCCGTCAGCTTCCCCAAGTCGAGGCACGTCCAGGAGCCTGTGGATCCTCCTTGTCGGGGCCACCTGGGCCGACCTCAGCAGATGCTCCACGCAGGATTGACCGCGTCGAGCTGGTCGCACCCGCAGCCAACCTACACGGCGCGAAGCGCCGTCTCATGCAAGGACACGCCGTAGTCCTGACGGGTGAGCGTGGCCGTCGACTTCATCGCCCGTGATGGGCCAGGGGTCCGTTCCTGCACCTCAGGAACACCACGTGCCAGAAGGTAGTCCGCGGGCCTGGGGTCTGCGTCTCCCAGTCGCTGAACTGGACCGCCTCCTTCTTCGAGACTGCGTCGCCGAACTCCCTCTTGCGCTGGTCACCGACCGTATTGATCGGCAGCGCCCTCGCGTCACCATCGCCGCTGTCCTCGATGTGATATTTCCTCTTGAGGTCTCTCATGTCGCCAGGCGCCACCCGCAGGCAAAAGACCCTGCCATCCTGGCCGTTGTTGTCCTGGAAAATGTGAATGGCATGGTCGCCCTGAACCAGGGCTTGATTGTGGAGCTGCTAGTGGGCACCTTGCATGATGCCCGAGCCTGTCTCGATGGCGCACCGCGCGTCCCGATTGGCTGCAGGCGCTCCACCTCCTCGGGCCGCATCGGACTGGGCGATCAGTCGGGCCTCCTCGCGAATGCCTGCGGCCGCGCACCCTCGGGCTCCACTCGAAACCGGTAGCGGATCAACACCCTGCGGAGATCTCCTCGCCAAGTGCTGAATCTGAAACCCTCTATGTCAGCATTGTGGCGGCCTGAATCCTCTAGGTGCACGTCATCGTCGGGTGTCGCGATGATCCATTCAGTGGCCAAGTCGCCCACCTGCTCGAGTAAAAGTCGTTGGTGCCATATGGGATGGCCGTCGTACTTCGCGAAGACCTTCGAGCCCCGCTCCATGGTGCTTGACAGGAGCCGCCACCGAAAGGGCAGGAGCAAGCTCGGTACCACGATATGCTGACGGCACAGCCTGGAGTCCGTCGCGAAAACGCTCTGGGGACAACACGGGAGGAAGACGACGCCACAGCCACTGAGCTATTGCTGTAGAAATGACCCCACATATACAGCCGAGCACGGAGACCAACGTCACGAACGCAGACAGCAGGAGCATAACCAAACACCAGTTTTGTTGTGGTGTATGTGCCAATTTGATTCGAGGTCCATCCCAAGCAATAGAACGAAGCCTCGAGCGCCTCCGTTGGCAGGCACTGCTGAAGCCAGGGCTGGAAGCCACGACATGCAAAGTTGCCTCTTAAGCCGCGCAGTTGCGGAGAGAGACAGACAATCAACACGTGCTGGCACTATCTATATGTATAGATTGCCGGTACCAGTGTTAATTCATTAACGGTGATGATTATTCCATGCATGATTGTGTCATTAGGACCCTGCGGTGTGTGTGTGTGTGTGTGCGTGTGTGTGTGTGTGTGTGTGTGTGTGCCACCTTCTTATCATTCCACAATCGAACTTACTAACATTACTCATCCCCCCGCCTCCCCCCGCCTCTCCCCTGGCTCCCCCCGGCTCCCCTCAGTGTCCCCCAGCTCCCCCCGCCTCCCCGCTCGGAGGCGCGCAAACATGGCCTAGCGATCCATGGATTTAGCGCGCGGTCGCCAAATCCATGGATCGGGGGAGGTGCACTCCCCAAAATGCGGCCGCTGCCGCCTCGCTCGGCGGCGGAAATCTGCGATTTCCCAGGCAAACCGGACCCGTCGCTAGTCCACGTCCCCTTGATGCCGTTTGCGATCGCCTGACGCCGTCGTCGTCGCCCCCCTTCGTGGTCGGCGGCGCTGGCCGCAAGGCCTTCCCAATGTTATGGCCGCAGTGCGGCCATGGTTTTTTTGGTCTGGGACTCTGCAGGATTGGTCCATCACTTTTCTCAGGTCTGTTGCCTAGTTGCTTTGTTTTGCTGCTTGCCTCCTTCAGTGATCGTCCAGGAGGTAATGTGTTCTCGTGTTTTGCTGGCTGCTGTCCTGGATATGGCTGGAACTGATATTCGAATTCCTTCGGACTCTTGCAAAGGCCTTTCGTATGTCCCTCATGGGTGACCTGCCCCCTAAGTAGAACTTGACTAGCTAAGGGGTTTTACGCGGCACACTAATCACTGGGTCCGCTCCCCGCATCTCCCACAAGCGGGGACCTTCAAACACATTGCAAACAAAACTGCTATTCTGATGATGCTGGTCTGCCCGGGGGTCGCCCTGAGGCGACTATCAATAGTTGTTCGGGCGTGTCTTTGACGATTGCTTTAAACATGGCAAGTTATACGACGGCTTGGGCGTGTTCCAAGATCCACTGTTCGAAAATTATGAGCTCAACTTGGGCCAAATATGGGACCGGGTCGCCCCGATCTGGACCCGCAGTGGAATACGTTCGGACGGGACTCAGGCCCAACACAGGGGACGTTCTCTGGGTCGTATGGAAAGGATCATTGGCCACCTCGGGCCCTTCAAGGTTACTTCACTCTCCCACTTGTGGGGGCATTGGGGCCATCTATGGAACGCAAACCGTCTGCAATCGGCCCGCACAATGGGGTGAGAGGCGTGCGATATTGACCTTCCGGGGCTTCTTTCAAAACTTCAGCGTCCTAGGCTGGGCCATTCCGCCGCCCACTGCGCTCCGTCCGCTCTTCGGGACACAAGACGGCCCAATTCGAAACGAACTCGAGGTACAACTCGTTCCCAACACGGTCTCGGGACAAATGCCCGCTCCCGAATATCTCCTCCTGCGCCCCGTCTGCAAGTTGACAACTTCAGACAACGAAAAACTACGAAGGGCTGGGAGTGAACGCGAGGCGTGTTCGAATAGCTCTGCTGTGCGGTCCCTCTGCTGTCGATGACGAGGTACATGAGCAGGAGGCCCGAGAGGCCACCCGCAATCGCAGCCGCGAAGATGATGGTCGTGGTGATGGTGCAGGGGTTGCAGACCCCTCCCTTGCCCCTCTTCATGCCGCGCTGGCACATGGAGCACGTGATCCCCGTACGCCCATCGGCGCATGTCGCGCCGGGCGGGCCGCCCACGCAGCGGGCCGAATCGCCGAAACACTGGTACACCGAGAGGGAGGAGTCCTCCGCGAAGAAGCCCTCCGCGATGACGACGTCATCCTCTTTCGGATTTGCCCGTAAGTCGGGCGTGTCCGCCTACATGCGCAGCTTGGGAGAATAATCAAGAATAGTCAAACAATGCCCCAACACACAACAAACCATCGAAACATCGCCCCCCACAGTTTGTTTTAATTATTTTTGAATTCTCCTCCTGTAGAGGGACATGCGCGACTTAACCCTTCCCCTCACAACTCCTGGATGTCTCGGACGCCGCTGCTCTTCTCTGGGCCGCCGCGGACCTCCTCCCTCCTCGGGGCCCCCGCGGGGATCCCAGGAGGCTCCGCGGAAGGCCCGAGATTATCCCGAGCCTCGCTTTCCCCTTGCGGGAAAGTTCTGGAACCGAGCCGAACGACCCGAACCGAACTGGTAAAAACCGACCAGCGTGAACCGGTAAAAATTTCAACCCGAACCGAACCGAACCGAACCTTTCGTCTTCGATGCTCGAACCAAACCGATTCGGCCTCGATTTTGATGCGGAACCGGACCGGACCGGAACGATCGAACCAGAACGAACAAACAACGGGACCCGACCGAACCTTAACGAACGAACCTCCACGTGAACTCAACGAGTCGTCGTCGATGCCTCTGAGATTTCGCCATAACGCCTGCAGCCCCCCGTGACCCCCGTGACCCCTCCCCCGCGGGCCACCCGTGACCCCTGCGACCCCTCCCCCGCGGGACCCCTGTGACGCCTATGACCCCTCCCTCCCCGTGCCCCTCGTGACCCCTGTGACCCCTGCCCCACGTGACCCTCGTGACCCCGATGACCCCCGATGACCCCTCCCCCCGTGACCCCCGTGACCCCTCCACCGCGGGACCCTCGTGACCCCCGTGGCCCCCCTCCCCGCAGGGCCCCCGTGACCCCTGTGTGACGCGCCCCCCCCCCCCCCCCCCCCCCCCGCGGGGCCTCTGTGACTCCTTCCCCCGCGGGCCCACCGTGTGCCCCCCGTGACCCTTCCCCCGCGGGAGCCCCCCCGGGACCCCCGTGACCCCTCCCCCGCGGGAGCCCCCCCGCGACCCCCGTGACACCCACCACCCCGGACACCTGTGACCCCTCTCCGCAGGGCCCCGCGTGGCCCCTTCCTCGTGACCCCTCCCCCGCGGGAGGCCTGCGGCGAGGGGAGTCGCCAAACATGGGCCCTCCTCCTCCTCCATTCCTGCTGCACCCCGAGGCCAGGTTTTAGGGCGGGCCGGGCGCTCACCATTGATGACCCCGAAGCTTGAAAAGTGGCAGCAGCTTCGCAGATGGAGGCCAGGTCGTTTCCAAAATGTGGCTCTCGCCTTAGCGCCGCGCACATTCATTTGAAGAATGTTGAAGAGCTTCACGGATTGAGGGCGGGTCGACATGTGCAAGAGTTTCACGGATTGAAGGCGGCTGGTTTTCAATGTGGCTGTCGCCTTAGCGCCACGCACGTTCGTTTTAGGAAATTGGGAGAGCTTCACGGATTGAGGGCGGGTCGTTTTCAAATGTGGCTCTCGCCTTGGCGTCGCGCACATTCGTTTTAAACATGTGCAAAAGCTTTACGGATTGAGGGCGGGTCGTTTTCAAAATGTGGCTCTCGCCGAAGCGCCACGCACATTCTCTCTAATAGTTTGCAAGGGTTTCAAGGACTGAGGGCGGGTCGTTTTCAAAATGTGGCTCTCGCCTTAGATCCACGCACATTCGTTTTCAAACTTTGCAAGAGTTCCACGGATTCCCATGATCAACGTTCCGAACATTGCGTTTCTAAAGATTAAGGATTATGCGGGTGCAACAATCATGTTGGTTCGCGGTGTCGAAGTCCCAAAAGTGGCGCCCTGGCACGATTCCGGATCGTCAAGACGCATCAGTCAGGTTGATACATGGCGTTGAAATCCCGAGAATCATGTATTGCCATGCTTCAGGATCTTCAAACGGTTGTCTTCCAACGAGGCAGTTCCCTCAATCGAAAAGAACCGCTGTTGAGGCCCATGAAGAGGAAGCTTGGAGGGTTAATTCCAACATCGTTGAGGACTTTTGGTTTTACACTGGGCATCCTCCTCCTCCTCCTTACCTCCGTCGAGGATGACAGAACTCGCTGGGCGGTCCACCAAGCGATCTGGCAGAAACACAAACCGGACCGAGCTGGAACAGCAACTATGAACTGGAAACAAACATGTGACGAACCGAACCGAACCGAACCAGAATATTACAACACCGAGCCAAACCGAATCGAACCAGAGGCACTTCGGAACCCAACCGGACCGAACCAGACAGGACCTCTCCTGCCCTGGGGGGATACAAATGACCACCTACCAGACCACCCCAACCCAACCCGAGGACCCGAACTTCGGGTTGGATGGGGGGTACACGGGCTCCATGCTCATTTTTTCCAGAACGTTCCCCGACCCCCCCCCCACCACTGGAGATGCAAGGCAGATTGAAACCTTCGGGTTGGGTTGGGGGGTGGTCTGTGGCGGGTGGTGGGCAAAGGTTCCGCGGACCTCCCTCGGGGCTCGTTCTGCCTACAGTCGGGGCCCTGAAGAAGGAACTCTGTTGGTTGGGGAGGGGCTCCGCGTTCCTTACGTGTTTCACAGCTTGCCTCAGGTTTTACCTATGTTTTCGATAGGAAGTCGAAGTTTAACTTATGGAAAAGAAGGGGCCTCGTTCCTTATTTACGGTTCCTTAGGTCAACGCCCCGACTGTAGAATCTCGGAGGGAATCCAGTCGTGGCGGCGAGGGCCTCCCACCGGCGGCTCCACCAGTGGCGAGCCCCGAGGGGGACTGCAGCCAGGGCGGGCCCTCGCAGAACCGAAGGCCTTCGGCCTTCCAAGAAATCGTCGAGGCCTTCTCCAAAAGCAGAAACGGCTTCTCAGAAGGCCAGAGGGCTTCTGAGGAGCCCCACCGCCTTCTGAAGAAGGCATGCCCCCTCTCACTGCCCCCCGGGTGCGCCGCCGATCCCAGGAGGCCCAAGAATACCACAAAGAGGGAAGGGCGGCGGCACCAGCACTCTTCCTCCTCGGACCCCGAGTCCTCCCCCCTGGGGCGGTAGGGGCTGGAGGGAGGAAACGGCTCACTGAGCCACTGATTCGTCTGCGTTCTCTTCCTGCCTCTGCCTCGGAAGTGTTTTCAGGGTTTTGACCCCGGAGCCTTTTTCCCTGGCCCCTTGCGATCGATCTGGGCGCTCGCCTGGCAGTAAGGGCTTGACCCGTCCTGCGAGGACAACCGGTCCGATCCGATCCGATCTCAGTCCTTCCCCCTGCAGATCACGCCCGTGGTCTCTTTCGTGCCGCAGCTCACGCACCCGCCGCCGCCATCGCTCCTTCACACGGGATCTGTCGACCCCTATCCCAGGCTTTGGGAGGTTGTCGACTGGACCAAAAATGTGGGGCCCAACCCTGGGATACACGATGGGGAGGGCATCCATTTTCGATAAGGGGCTCGTCGGACTAGCACCCTTGGAGTGCATCCCAGGGCTTCTCCAATTTTATAGGCCTTTTCATTTTTCTTGGCAGCGCGCGAAGGGGGGTTCGGGGGAGGGGGGAAGGCTTCTCAGAAGCAGGCTACTTCTTCGAAGGCGCGGGCCATGCACATCTGCAGGCAAGGGCCCGCGCCTTCTCGGGAGCAGGGGTGCTCCTGAGAAGCCTTCCCCCCTCCCTCTACCCCCCTCTGTGCGTGGCCGACTCTCGTCGACCAGTCTGGGGCTAAGGAAGAGGAGGAGGAGGACGAGGAGGAGGAGCCGCAGGAGGAGGAGGAGGAGGAGGAGGAGGAGGAGGAGGGGGAGGAGGAGGAGGAGGAGGAGGAGGAGGAGGAGGAGAGGGGAGGAGGAGGGGGAGGAGGAGGAGGAGGAGGAGGAGGAGGAGGAGGAGAGAGGAGGAGGAGGGAGGAGGGGAGGGGGGAGGGAGGGGGAGGAGGAGGAGGAGGAGGGAGGAGGAGGAGGAGGAGGAGGAGGAGGAGGAGGAGGGGGATGATGATGATGATGATGATGATGATGATGATGATGATGATGATGATGATGATGATGATGATGATGATGATGATGATGATGATGATGATGATGATGATGATGATGATGATGATGATGATGATGATGATGATGATGATGATGATGATGATGATGGAGGAGGAGGAGGAGGAGGAGGAGGAGGAAAGGGATGATGATGATGATGATGATGATGATGATGATGATGATGATGATGATGATGATGATGATGATGATGATGATGACGATGAGGAGGAGGAGGAGGAGGAGGAGGAGGAGGAGGAGGAGGAGGGGGGAGGAGGAGGAGGAGGAGGAGGAGGAGGAGGAGGAGGAGGGGGAGGGGGGAGCAGGGGGAGGAGGAAGGGGAGCGGCTGGGGGGGACACCTCGCCTGCGAGCTCCTGGTGCCCGCCGCGCAGCCGCAGGCGGACGGCCCCGACGCGCCCTCCACCGGCACCCACTGGCGCCTGCCCTCCACCAAGGTCCACTCCGAGGTGATGCCCGCGGGGCACCTGGGGCCGAGAGGCCCACGAGCATCGGAGGCCGAAGGGACATGCCAGCATTAAGTCCTGGGCATCGCTCGGACGTCCATTCCCTGTGTTTTTTTCCGGTTCCGTGCGTTGTTTTTCGCCGAATGATCAAGGATGCTCCTCGATGGTCCTCGCCGAAGGAAAAATGCACACGTCCGAGCGATGCCAGGAGTCGGGCGTGTCCCCCTACAGGGGGATCTTGGACGAACAATGCAACATACTCAAAACATACTCCGAAAAGATACCACAAAATAGTCAAAAAATACTCCCCAGACATTTGTTATACTATTTTTGAAGATTCCCCCTGTAGAGGGACAGGCCCGACTTGATGCTAGCACTCCCCGTCCTCCTCGGAGGTGCGCGTCCGACCCGAACATATAGCATCACCGTCTTGCACAGCAACCGCCTTCTGGGTGACCAGGAGGTTGGTGGGGTGGGATGGGGGGGAAGAGCCTGACGACAACTGCGATGGCTGTGATGATGACGATGCTGGTGATGCGCCCTCGAGTTGGCGACGACGCGTGGTGACGGTGTTTCGACGCGATATTATTCCACTAATTATCGGTCCCACTCGATCGATCTCACCACTGGACACCGGCGGGGCACCGACGGGACACCGACGGGACAGCAAACGGGACACCGACGGGACACCGTCGGGACAACAACGGGACAACGACGGGACAGCGACGGGACAATGACGGAAAAGCGACGGAACAGCCACGGAACACCAACGGAACACTGACAAGACACCGACGGGACACCACGGCGGGACAACCCGGTCACCGCCCGCCCTCCGCGGGGGAGAGGTGGACAGCGACGGGACTCCACGGCGGGACAACCTGGCCACCGCCCGCCCACCGGGGAGGGAGGAGGGGCGGTCAACGGCTCTTGACCCGCCCTAGCCACAGCGAGGTCATTCCTCTCACCCGCCCACGCAGCTTCGCCTCGCCCGCCACGCCACGCACCAGAAACCGACACCGACTTCTAGGTTGGGGGCTCTCCGTTGCACTTCGATCTCGTCGGCCAACCTCCGATATTTACCAGCCTCTATCGTACCCCTATCCCTAAGATTGACACGCCAAAAGGCGATGACAATCTTAGGGATTCGCCCTCAATAAATAAGGGAATCCCTAAGATTGGCATCGTAATGAGGAGGTGCCCAGCATAGGGATAGGGATATGTTCCAGGCTGGTAAGATATGACTTCCCCAGCGGCACAAACCGCCAGCAGACCGAGGACGCACGATCGGGATGCAAGGGCCCCGGAAGGCCGTGCCGACACTCTGCGAGCGGGGCGCGGCGCCAGCTAAAGAGGCCAAGGATGGGCCGAAGGGCAAGGATGCAGAGGGTAGCCTCGGAGAGTCGCGCATCCTTATGATGCGGGCCGGCTGTAGAACCATCCTGACGAACGAGCAACACACACCCATACCCAAAGGGGGGTCGTTGGGAGGAGGACTGGCCATGGGTATGGGTGCGGGTTGTCGGACCCTGGGGAACGCTCCCGTTCGAGCGGGGACCCCCATCCGACAACACGCACCCATAGCCCTCTCCGACCCCTCTATGGGTATGGGTGTGTGTCGTTGGGTCGTCACATCCTGTGGTAGATCGCTGCCCGAGCAGTATCGCAAGACAGCGCCGGCCGCGAAGCATACACTGCAAGATTCCTCGGTGCGAGCGTCGCCCCTCGGGGGCGACGTACACGCAATACCGGTCATTGGGATGACACCGACATGCACCGTGCTATGCACCGCAATCTTCTAGAGCCCCTCTAGAGGACGAAACAAAGACGTACACTTAAACTTGTGTTGGCGCTCCGCGGGGATTTCTTGGACCTGCGCTGGACCCCCCGGCGCCAGCGGCGTTTATCGGGGCCGGCCTCCATGACCGACCCACTCCTCGGGGCTGGCCTCCCCTCCCGAGCTGCTTGTCGCGCGGGCCCCGGGCCCAGAAAGCTGCCTCCACGCGCAGGCAGGAGCGCAGCATAGCCAGCACGAACTGTGCCGTGCCGCCAGGGGTCTGGCATCGGAGGCGCATGCAGGAACTCATGCGCCTCCTCTGCCGCTGAGAGGGTGTGTGGTGCGCAGGTTCCCGACGCCGGCCTGGTGCACTCGGAACGCCCAGGGAGCTCCTGGTAGGGATTCGCACCCTCCGCCTCCTGCACCACCTCCTCCGCCTGCTCCTGCCTCGAGAACTGAGGAGGGAAGAGGGAGGGCCAGGATGAATGCAAGCATAATTCGAGAATTGTCGGGGGCTCCTCCCTCCTTCTCCACTTCCCTCCTCCTCCTCCTCCTCCTCCTCCTCCTCCTCCTCCTCCTCCTCCTACTCCTCCCTCTCCTCCCCCACCTGCCTCCCTCCCCTGGAGCCCCCTCCTCTCCTTCTCGTCGCCCACTCTGCCGTCCCCCTCCCCCATCCCCCACCCTCCTCCTACTTGCTCCCCCTCTTCTCCCCCCGACTCGCTCTCCCCTTCTTCCTCCTCGCAGCGTCCTCCTGTCGGTCCTCCTGCTCCCTCCTCCTCCTTCTCCCCCTCCTCGGCCTTCAGGGGGGCCCCCGAACAGTTCCCAGAGAGGCTCTGGGGGTCTGAAGGAGGCCTTCCCAGAAGCGCCCCGGGCCTTCTGAAAGAAGGCTCCTGGTTTTTGTAAGGCTTCTGAGGATGCCTTCCTAGCAGCGCCTCGCCGCCTCCTCAGAAGCCCACCCCCCTCGCGAGGCCCCCGTGCGGGCGCCTCCAACCTCACGCGCCTAAAACAAGGCTAGGATCGGGATAAATCGCTCCAGAGCGTTCCAGAGCGCTATCAGAGCGTTCCGGAACGCTCTGGAGCGGCCGCGGCGCCCAATACATCCTCCAAACCCGCCGATTCTCAGAGATTTCGAGTTATCCCGCTCCGATTTTGTCCCGATCTTCGCGTCGTTTAAGCGCACCCCCCCCCCACCCCAACCCCACGAGGGAGCGCGCCCGAGCCCGGCCGAGGTCGGCACCGAGGCTGCCTCTGCCTCGGGGGGGTGCCTCCCCGTCGCGGGCCCCTGGGGCGGGGACGGACACCTTCCCGAGGGCCGCACGAGTTCCCTTTGGTAGCCCCCCCCCCCCTGGACTCTCTCTCTCTCTCTCTCTCTCCCCTTCTGGGCGGAGGCCCCTGGACTCTCTCTCTCTCTCTCTCTCTCTCTCTCTCTCTCTCCCTTTCTCCCCTTCTGGGCGTCCATTCCTGCGGAGATCTCCAGAGGCCTCCGGGGGCGAGGTGCCTGGAGGCCTCTGGCCCCCCCACGCCACACAAGGAGTGCCCTCCTCCTCCGCCCGCCCCTCCCTGAGCCGAAGTGGTGGGCCCGGCGCAGATGGGAGCGCGGAGGGCGGGGTGCAGCAGAGCATGCAACAGCTGGTGCCCGGATGCGACAACTCTCGCGCTGGACGCAGTCTTTGCGAGTGGATGCAGCCGTGCAGCGTTCGCTATCATGAGGGCGCACGCTGAAGGGGCGAGGGCCTTGGAAGGCCATGCCGACGCGTTGCGAGCGGGGCGCGGCCAGCGAAAGGGCAAGGATGCAAGGGTACTCTGGGTTTCTCAATAAGCGTGGGGGGGGGTACCCCCCCGACGGGGACCAACTTCGCCTCGTCGTCGCGCCGCGACGGGGGTCGGAGCGCCTTCGGCGCGCGGTGGCTGCCCGCGACGGGGGTCGGCGGGGGTGACGCCCCTCCGACGCTTTGGAAGATCACCTTGGAGTGGCCTTGGAAAGTCGCTCATCGTTGATATGCGGGCTGACTGTGTAACCATTTTTGTAGTAGATCGTTTCACGAGCGGTATGGCAAGGAAGCGCCCGCCGCGAAGCATATACTGTATGACTTCTCGGTGCGGGCGTCGCCCCTCGGGGGCGATGCACACGCAGTATTGGTATGTTAGGGTGACACCGACATGCACCGTACCATGTCTGGACTCCCTTCTGGCAAGGCTCCGACGCTGTACCCGTGCATAGTTGCTCGGCTCCGAGGGCATCAAAAATATACTCCTCGAGGGTTGTCCTGGAAAGCCGCTCACCCTCACTGCGCGGGCTGACTGCAGTTCCGCGCCCCCCGCGGCAGTTGTGCAGTCTTGCACGCAGCAGTGCGCAACCGATGAATGGCGCCTCACGCCGCCGACCCATCGGGGCCAGGCCCCCCACTTACATTGAGAGCTCGCCACAAGAAACCCACCACAAGAAGCCCATCACTGAGACCCCAGGACGTCCATTGGTTCTTTGGGTGTGGGAACGTCGCGCCCTCCATTGCAAAACCATCGAAACCCAAGAAGCCCAGGGCACCCTGGAGGCAAGCAGGGTGCTCCTTGGCATAATTAGGCTCGCTCCCACTGTCCTCCAGCCTGGACCTTCCCCCATCGTAATTAGAGCGCCAACCACGCAGCACGCCGGCCATGGCCACAGGCCCACCGACGGGCCCAAGACTCGGCGGTGGACAAACCTCCCTTTAGTAGACCTCCCCTTAGTGAAAACGGCCTGGGACCGAAACCGACGGACCTGGACCCGCCAAAATGACGGCCGCGACGCCCTCTCGCGAACCGAGAACGGCCAATTCCTTCATCGACGTGTCAGGGAGGGAGGTGTGTCCACCCCCGAAAGACATCAGTTGGGGGGCGGAAAGATACGGATACGTGTTGTCCCCGGACCTCTCTTGGGGTGCGTTCTGACCAGAATTTCGAGGCGAATCCAGCGGTGACAACGAGGATTCCCCAGGAGGACCAGGAAAGGCCGAAAACGAAGGGGGACAACACGTATCCGTATCTTTTTCTCCCCCGAGAAACACTGAACAAGCATAGATTATAAAGTGCCGATCGTATGCGCGGGTTGCTCGGATCTGCGCTGGACCCCTCCTTTCTCGCCTTCGTCCTGGCGAGAGGAGGAGGAGGAGGAGGAGGAGGAGGAGGAGGAGGAGGAGGAGGAGGAGGAGAAGAAGAAGGAGAAGAAGGACGAGGAGGAGGAGACCGGTTCAGAGGCAAGCGGGCCCTGGACCCCGTGGAGCCCAGGGCCTTCCCGCAGGACAGCATCCTCATCCTGCGCTGACGGCCCGGGGGGCCCGCGGAGGGCCCCGAGAGACCGCGAGCGGCGAAAATCCCCAGGAGGGAGGAGGAGGAGGGGGAGGAGGAGGAGGAGGAGGGGGGGGAGGAGGAGGAGGAGGAGGAGGAGGAGGACGAGGCGGAGGAGGAGGGGGAGGAAGGAGGAGGAGGAGGAGGAGGAGGAGGAGGAGGAGGAGGAGGAGGAGGAGGAGGAGGAGAAGAAAGAGAAGAAGGACGAGGAGGAGGAGACCGGTTCAGAGGCAAGCGGGCCCTGGACCCCGTGGAGCCCAGGGCCTTCCCGCAGGACAGCATCCTCATCCTGCGCTGACGGCCCGGGGGGCCCGCGGAGGGCCCCGAGAGACCGCGAGCGGCGAAAATCCCCAGGAGGGAGGAGGAGGAGGGGGAGGAGGAGGAGGAGGAGGGGGGGGAGGAGGAGGAGGAGGAGGAGGAGGAGGAGGAGGTAGGAGGAGGCGAGGAGGGGAGGAGGGGGGAGTAGGAGGAGGAGGAGGAGGAGGAGGAGGAGGAGGAGGAGGAGGAGGAGGAGGAGGAGAGGAGGAGGAGGAGAAGGAGGACGATGGAGGAGGAGGAAGGAGCAGGAGGAGGAGGAGACGAGGAGGAGGAGGAGGAGGAGGAGGAGGGGGAGGAGGAGGCGAAGGAGGACCGCGGAGGAGGGGGGGGGAGTAGGAGGAGGAGGAGGACGAGGAGGAGGGGGGGGGGAGAAGGGGGAGGAGGAGGAGGCGGAGGAGGAGGAGGAGGGGGAGGAGGAGGGGGAGGAGGAGAGAAGGAGCAGGAGGAGGAGGAGTAAGACCCGTCTTGTTCAGGTTCCCCATCCTGCATGACGAAAAGATGGGTCCAGCATGTGCGGACCCTGGGCCCGAGATGGGCCGACTGCCCGGACCGGCATGGCACACGGCAGGCGTCCCGGCGACGGCGGCGGCTGGGGAAACCAAAAGATACCGATGTCGCTACAGTCATCGCGCTACCAGAGGGATGAGGGGCAAGGATAGGGGGGTATAGGGATAGAGGGAGAAGCATCGACCTGGAATCGGCGATACATCGCCGATAGATCGGCGACAGGCCTCCGATAGTGAATCCGCACCTTCCTGGGTAGGTTGGTGCTATCGGGCCTCCATCGGCGATCAATGGGCGATCGGGGGTCGATGCATCCCCCCCTATGCCTATCCCCCCTATCTCTGCCCCTGAAAGGAGCGCTGAATAAGGAACGAAGGGGCCTTTCTGGCCACGGCGAGCCTCGGCCAAGAACAGATGCCTCGACATAGACATCTCTGAGGAAACGGCCCCAGAAGCAGGGGCCCTCCCGAACCGAAACCGATCCTGATTGTCTCCTCCTCCTCCTCCTCCTCCTCGTACTCGTCCTCCTCCTCCCCCTCCTCCTCCTCCTCCTCCTCCTCCTCCTCCTCCTCGGGGGCTGCAAAGGGTGCATCTGGCTCAAGGTGGCCCCCGCGTTTCGCTCCACGTTGGAGCCCCCGGGGGCCCTCTGCGCCTCGTGAGGGGTGCTCTGGAGGCCTCGTGTAGGGGGAAAGCAAACCTACCTCGCTTTTGACCACCCTCGCTTCCAAGAGATACCAAACGATGCCACATTGCAGCCTGTACTGGTCAGGCCGCTTGACGAGGAGGCGCGTGGTGTGGCTGGGTGTTGCCTGGAAGCGAAAGCGGGGTGGGTAATTGACGCTCTGATCGTGGGCCTCCATGGAAATCCTGCGGGAACCTTGGGCCAGGGGCACTTCCAGCAACTCCTGAAGGGTAAGCCATCGCTCGGACGTGTGCATTTTTCTCGGCTTCGCCGGGGCCAACACATCTGGACCATCTTTCGGGAGCGGCCAAGAGGGGGGTGTCCAAGAGGGGGGGGTGCAAATCATGGCCGGCGGCATGTGCGCGGCCCAGCGGGGGGGCCAGGGACGTAATGAAACAAGAAGAGGCGCCATGAGATCTGGGGAAATACCATTGACCCCGCCATGATATCCACCCCCCCCCTAGTCAGCACCCCCCTCTTTGCCGCCCCCGAATCTTGGAGAGTCTCTTGGAGCATCCGGAGAACACACAAATCACTTATGAGTCCAGACGAGGAAGCGAGGCACGGGGAACGGGCGTCCGAGCGATGGCACGACGGTGCACATCCTTACCGCTCCCTTGGGAGGCAACTACTGGGAGGCCTTCTTCGGAAGGGCTGAGGACTACGCCCCACTGGGGGGCTGCTGCGCCGGAGTGGGCCTCGGATTCAGCGGGATGAAGGCGGATGAAGCGGGAGCAAGCGGGAGTTAGCCGGATGAAGCTGGGGAAGCGAGATCTTACCAGCCTGGAACATATCCCTATCCCTATGCTGGGCACCTCCTCATCACGATGCCAATCTTAGGGATTCCCTGATTTTTTGAGGGCGAATCCCTGAGACTGTCATCGCCTTCTGGCGTGTCAATCTTGGGGATAGGGATACGCTCGAGGCTGGTAAAATTCGACCTCCCAGGAGTTGCCCCACAGAAGCTCCCTGCTCTGACAGCGAAGTCTCCTGGTAGTACCCCACGAGGCACGGCTCGCAGCTGGGCGCCCCCGCCGCGGCGGCGCGGGACCCCGGGGCGCAGGCGAGGCACGCGGTGCTCGCCGCCGCGGCCGCGAAGGAGCCCGCGGGGCACTGCGAGCACTCCTGCCGCGGCGGGGAGCGGCGGCGGCGGCGGCGAGTTGCCGACGGCGGCGGCGGCGGCGGCCCCGGACTCCTCCAGAGGCTCGCCATCGCTCGGGCGTCTCTTCCCGGTGTCTTTTGTCGGTCTCGTGCGTGGTTTTTTCGCCAAATCATCCAGGATGCTCCTCGATGGCCCTCGCCGAAGGAAGCATGCACACGCCCGAGCGATGCCTAGCCAGAGGCGTGGACGGAGATGCCGACCGAGGCTTCTGCTGCGCTCTCGGCACCTGGGGCCCTCGCGAGGCCGGAGGCCTCCTGGATAGGGTCTGGGAGCAGATGGGGCCGGAGGATCCCGCCGCACCGCCGACGCCTTTCGGCGATGCCTTTCGGCGGTGCGTCGTCGACGTGGGCGATGCCTCGGCGGCGTCGGCGTGGGGGAGCACGGGCTCCGCCTCGAGCCCGCATCGCCGAGGCATCGGCGAGGAAGGCGCGGCCCTCTGACCCCGTCCTCTCTTTCCGGCCCCAGCTGGGGGGGGGGCCCTCGCCCGGCCTGGAGGACCGCCACACTGGGGCTGCCCCGGGGGGAGAGAGAGTAGGGAGCCCACAAAGGACGCACGCGCCCAGCTATGTGCACGAACGCGGCCCCTCGATCTGCGAGGCCGGCCGCGCGATGCGAACTTTCGGGCAATGCGTACTCTCGAAACCAGCGTGGATTCATGTACATGTACGTCCTTCTTTCGCTCCAGAGAGAGGGGGCCGGGGCTCCCGGGGAGCGCGCGCGGAAGCTCTCGACACTGGGCGGCAAGGGGGGGGGAGAGGGGGGGGGTCTGGCGCCAGACCTCTCGTGGTCGACTGCTCGCAGGAGTGCGGCCACTTTCTTTTTATATTTTGATTTTAAGGATTGTTTAAGATTCGGACTAGTTGTGGGAGACGTGTCTTTTCGTGTATATATTGTTTTTTGCGCTGCTATTTGATGAGAGTGCTGGGGGTTTCGTATTATTTTCCTTTTTTATTTACAAAAATCGGACTGTCTCTCTGTTGCGTTTATTCGTTGTGTTTTGTGGGGAGACCCCACCCGTCCGAAGCAGGCGCCAAAAGAAAGCCAAGATCTACTCTCGGGTCGGGCGAAAGGGGGGGATAGCAAAGGGGGGGTTTTAGAATCAGCTCACGTAGCTGATTTTCCCGGCGCCTCCCAGCGCCGGAAGCGGCTATGTATCGAGGAATGGACCCCTCGGTGAGGCCGAAACCAGCTGCATGCCGCAAATTTCGTACCCCCCCCTTTCCCAATCCCCCCCTTTCGTCCGGCCCGATACTCCAAGGGGGGGGGGGGAAGGGCGGGTTTTGGGGCCCGCGCCGACTGGCAAAGCCAGGCAGAACAACTATCCCCCAGACATCGCATGCCTGGGACCGCCGCGGCGACGGCGAGTGGCGGCAATCCTCGAGCCTCCCTCGCTTGGGAGAAGGGGTGGGGGGCGGGACGGGAGGAGGAAGAGGAGGAGGATCGATCGATCGAGCTCTCGGGCTGGTTCGGTGCTGCACTGTCGCTGCGCGCTGTGCTGCTTAATAAAGTTGTGTGGCCTAGCTGAGGTCGCTTTTCTGAAAGGGGGTCGCGGGCGCCACTGAGGCGCTCGGGCCCTGCCTGCACCGTCCTCCCCCACGCAGGGGGTCTGCGGGCAGGGTAGCACCCGCTATCGGGTGCCCTCTCGCTGGTTCCTCTACTGCCCCGTCTTCTCTGCCCTTCGGGTGGGGGCTGGGGAGTCGGCGCACGACGAATTAGTCAGGGAAGCTCGGGCCTCGGAGTAGGAGGAGGAGGACACGATCGGAGGCGGAGGAGGAGGGCGTCCTTCCCTGACCAGCTCGTGGGATCGCGCGCTGGTGCGTAAAAATGGGGTGGCCTGTGGGGCCGCACTCGCTGGGGCAGGGCAGAGCCGCGCCGTCCGCTCACTCACATCATATTGTGTCGCTCCTCTCTCCGTGTCGTTCTGGCGAGACGTCCCAGTTCTCGTTCTCCGTGCGGCGCCGCCCCGATCTTGCGGCTCGTCTCCATCTGCGTGTCCGTTGACTTCGTCTGGAACTGAAGCCTGCACTTCTCCGTGATGCCCCCTCCTTTGCCCTTGCTCTTGCGTGCGAAGAAGATTGGGATGCTGTCTATTATCTTCTCTGCCCTGCCACCCGATGACGTCCTTGTAGTGTTTCTCGAGGTTGTCGCACTCCGCTCCTGCGTCGAACATGCGCCCCGTGTAGTTCGCCATTTCGGTCCTCACGCGGGTGTGGGGGCTGTCGAGCGAGGCCGCGTCCACTTACTCTCCCAGCTCCTGGCCAGGTGTTTCCAGGCTGTCTCTGCGCTCGGTGTTGAACGTCGCCCTGTGGTACCTCTGGGTGCAAAAATAATGTCATTCCTGCTTCGTCGTAGTAACCGTCCAGTAGTCCCTCTTGCGTGGTTCGTATCTTCCTCCTGCTCGTGATAGTTCTTCGTCTCGTTGCTCTGTGCGTAGTTGTTGTGCTCGTCGTCGTTGCCGTTGGCGTTTCTTCGTGATGTCGTGCGGCTTTTTCTCGTTCTCGCGCAACTCCATGATCGGCTGTTTGTCTGTGGCGTGTGGATTGCCATCCAGCTCTGTCTCTTCCTGGGACCTGGGCGGGCCAACGACCGTCCCTGGAAGGTCCCTGGGTTCGAGTTCATCCGAGCAAAACGGGGGAGGCGACGATTCGGCCGCTGGCGTGCGATTAGCCTTTCGTTGTAATTCGTGAGCCTCTCGCGATAGTCCGTCAGTTTCGGCGCCTGGCAGTAGTACTTTTGCGCTGTCTCTACGAGGATGGTTTTGTTGTCCGTGATGAGCGGATCGACTCCCTTTCCTGCTGGGTCCGCTGTCCTCTGCTCTACCTTCTCGATGACTTCTCCTCTGTGTCGTCCGTGTCGAGCTGCGAACGCGAGGCTGTGCTTTCCCCGTCTCGTTGGCTGAGGTCGCTGTCGTAACTGTTGTCGCAGCAAGGTCACTTGCACTGGTACGTCTCGTCTGGATCGGCAGCGTGTTAGCGGGGGTCCTTGAGATATCGTCTTCTCGGTCATGCTCCTCAGTATCATGATGTACCTCGCGTTCTTCTCTCCGAAATGGCGGTCGGCGTAGGTGCGAGCCTTCTGTCCCGCTGCGCCTGGTAGTCGTTCGGGCGATCCGCCTTCTTCGTGCGCTGGTGTCTCTGATCGTCCTCCTTTCTGTGTATCGTTGAGGTTGCCCTCGACAATGCTTCTGTCCTCTGGTTTCTTCTATCCAGTTGAACCCTCTGCTCGTCTTAGCATAGTACTGTGGCGGTCTGTAGTTACCTATGATCAGCGGCGTCTGGTCGTGATGCGGGGTGATCGCGAGCTCTCTTCCACTGAGCTGCATCTCCTGGATGTCGATGATGGTGCCCGTGCTGTGGTTGATCTTTTCCCTTGTTTGCCAGCCCGCGTCGTAGTATCTTGTGTTGCCGCGGCCGTGCTGCGTGATGACGTGTCGTCTGCGTGATGTCCCCACGATGATGTCGATATTGTTGCCCTCCTCGTATCTCACCGCGAGCCTGTCGGGTTTGGCCGTGTGGCGGCAGAAGAGGAGCACAGCGAGAGAAGCTGAGAATGCTGCCATCATGCGGGCCGCCGCCCCTTCTGTCTGCTCGGTCCGAGGAATCGCATGGTGGCTGTCTGGGCTGTCCTGACAATATCTTAGGCCCAGATGGCAGCTGGAGGAGGAGGAGGAGGAGGAAGAAAGATCAATCGTTGTCCACACCCCAACAACAAAACGGACACTCCAGACGCACAACACCCGCCCCGCTACCGCCCGGACCTCTCCCAGGTGGCGCGCTCCGACTAGGACTTCGAAGCGGATCCGGCCTTTCGCGACGAGGGAGGCGTCGCGGTATCGGCACCTCCTCTTCCTCCGAAATGCACAGGCGCGCAGGGAAATTCGGAATGGGATCCCAGACCCCCGACGTCACGATTGGCTCACAACGTGCCACCCCTCAGGTCTCGATCCAACTCTTGGACAACGTCTTCACGTGAGCGTCTCTTATTCAGCGTTTCGACACTGAGCGAAGAGGGGGAAAGGGGGGGTTCTGGCTCCGGACCTCTGCTTAATGCGACTGCTCGCAACTGTGCGCCCACTGGGGGGAGGGACTCCACCTGCTCGAAACACGCGCCAAAAACAGCCAAGATCTACTCCACGGAGGGGGAGGAGGGGGGAGGGCGAGAGCCCGCGCCGATCGGCAAAACAATGCATAGAAGGACGATCACCAGCGTGCCGCCCCGGAGGTCTCCACCCATCTCGGGGGCAACTTCTTCACCCTGAACAGGTGGCTGACGGCCCCGAGGCCGGCCGATGCCCCCCGCCTCCCGCCGTGCTTTTTCGTGTTCGAGGCGCGGGCATGCCTGGGGAACCGGACTGCGGGGGCAGAGCGAGAGGGAGAGGAATTCGGCGCAGAAGAAAGCGTCACAAAAAGAAAAAACCGAAGATGAGCCGTCGTAGGGACACGAAGTCTATACACCGACGCTTTCTCCGACCCTGCGCTGAAATTCGCAGACAGGAGCGCGGATCATGGTGTTTACGGGAACCTGGTGTACACATATCTCGCCGTTTCCCTGGGCAAACGGGAAAAATGTATACATCACACCACCCCGACGTCGTCCCCGAGCCTCGCAAAAAGTCCTGGGATTGAACCAGCCGCCCGCCACTGGCAGCGCATAGGTTCCAGCTTCCGGCCTCGGAGCTCCGCGCAGATAGTTCTGGGCACTTCGCCAGATGCCCGCCGGGGGCGGCGCAGGAGGCGCCGCGAGGGGGGCCGTGCGCCGATCCAGGTACGCGGGCGGGGGAGAGGGGGCAAAGATGAAGGGGCCCTGGGACACACAAATAAATACACACAAATAACAGGATCCCCCACATGTTCCCACATTTTCTGGGTTTTTGTCTTCCCCCCCACTTCCCATATTTCCCATATTGCCTGGGGAATCGACGAGTAATTGTGTCTGTGTTTTTTTCCCTCCTGAAGAGAAGGGGGCAAAGAGGGGGCGGCCAGGGGGGGGGCTGCGGGAAGGGGCACCGCGGAGGCAGAGGGCCCGCAATCCTATAGGCAGGCGCGAACCCGCCACTCGCAGGAGCGCCTGCTCGCAAGTGGCCCGGAGCCACCGCAGGGGTTCACGATATAGACATTGCATCCAAAGGCAGACGTATGGCGTCTCGGACGTTGTTGCGAGCAGGCACTTTGCGAGTTCGTGGACGTAGACGAAGAATCAGAATAATAGTATAACCATGAGGAGAAGAAAACTGGTAAGAAAGATAAGAATTATAACAGTCCAAATGCGAATACTCCTGATACTAACATCTAATAATAAGAACTAACTGTATAACTAATGAAAACGGTGGTACTAATACGAATCAACATGAGCACAACAACAAATCATAATAACACAATAAAAGAACATAAACTGCTGGCGCTCCGCGCGGGGTTCTTCGCTCCACGCTGACCCCACGCCCTGCGGCGCGGAGCGCGCCAGGGGGTGGCGCCGGGGAGGCCCAGGCCGCCGATCCGAGAAATCCGCACGCTGCGCCAAAAGCTAAGGTGTATGGTTGTTTCCTCCTGCGAAGAGAGGCACGATGCGAGCAAAGGAACGCTCCTCCTCCTCCTCCTCCTCCGCCTCCTCCTCCTCTCTTTTCCGGCTCGCCCTCCTCATCCTCCCCCTCCTCCACCTCCTCCTCTTCTTCCAGCTCCTCCTCCTCGTCCTCCTCCTTGATACTTTTAGATGTGTATAGATGTATGTATGTATGTATGTATGTATGTATGTATGTATGTATGTATGTAGGTATGTATGTTTGTGGTATGTATGTGTATATATGTATGCATGCATGTATGTATGTACGTATGTATGTATGCATGTATGTATGTATGTACGTACGTACGTACGTACATTACGTGTGTATGTATGTATGTATGTATGTATGTATGCATGTAGGTGTGAAGGTATGCAGGTGTGTAGGCATGAAGGTATGTAGGTATGTATGCATGTGTGCATGTACGCATGTATGCGTTGTATGCATGTATGCATGTATGCATGCATGCGTGTATGCATGTATGCATGTATACATGTATGCATTGTATACCTGTATACATCGAATACATGTATGCATGTATGCATGTAGTCATGCATGTATGCATGGATGCATGTATGCATGTGTTCATGGATGCATGTATGCATGTATGCATGTATGATTTCATGCATGGATGTATGTGTGCATGTATGCATGTATGCATGTATGCATGTATGTACGTACGTACGCACGCACGTATGCTTGTTTGTATGTATGTATGTATGCATGTATGGTTGTTTGTTTGGTTGTATGTATGTATGTATGTTTGTATATACGTATGTATGTATGTATGCATGCATGCATGTATGTATGCATGTATGTATGTATGTATGTGTGTATGTATGTATGTATGTATGAATGAATGAATGAATGATGTATGAACTGATCGATCGATATGCATATACATATATGTATGTGCATATAGACAGATATAGGTGTGTGTATATATATATACATATATATGTATATATAGCGACCAATACATACATATGTATATATGTATATATCGACAGAAGCCCTCCTCGCCCTCCTCCTCCTCCTCCTCCCTCCCCCCCGGCTGCCCAGCGAACTCCTCCTGGCCCTCCGCGCCCTGGAAGGTCCCCGGGCCGCACTCGCTGCAGAGCCGGCTGCCGCTCGCGGCGGCCACGCGTCCGGCGGTGCAGTTCTGGCACGCGCGCTGCCCCGCGGACGGCTTGAACGTCCCGGCGGCGCAGGCCCGGCAGGCGCCCGCCTCGTCGGGCTCCTGGCGGGAGGGTCTCCGTGAGAGGGGGCCCAGGGGCACACAGCCAAAGGGGTAGGCACGAACCCCAGGAGCTCCCCATCTCTTCCCATGTCTTCCTGGGATTCTTGTCTTCCCCCCCGCTTCCCCTATTTTCCCACATATCTTCAGGGGGGTCGACGGCTCGGTCTGTCTCTGTGTTTTTGTTCCCCTCCTGACTCGAGGAGGGCGCGTTGGGACAACGGCAGTTGGCCTTCGGGGGGGTCCCTCATCGCCACGGCTGGACACAGCTGGGAAACGTGGTGCGTCTGGAGCCCGAGAGGAGGGGACGCGCGATTCTCTCAACCGGCTGGTCGTCCTCGATTCGGGCCCCAGGAAGTGCCCGTCATCTGGCCGCGGGGCCATCCGAAACGGGTCTTGAGCGAAACCTCTCTCTGCGCAGGGGTCGGATGTCGAGGAGGAGCGGGAGGAGGCGGAGGAGGAGGAGAAGGAAGAAGGAGGGGGAGCAAAAACAACAACTATTTCGTTGGATGTCTGGGTTCAACCGCACCGACATGCACACCACCGCCACCACCACCACCACCACCACCATCACCACCACCACTACCCACGGCCAGGCCCGTGCTGGGCCCGCTGGCGCGGCGCACGCGCCTCCACTGCCGGGGCCTGGCGGCTAGCCATACCATCCGTAGGGGAACAAGGGGGCTGTTACGCCAGAGTGGGCCTGGGATTCAGCGGGATTTAGCCGGATTGAGCGGGATTGAATAGGATTGAGCCGGACTGAGCGGGATGAAGCCAGATTTCGGACCAGGGCAAAATCAGAATTTGACCGCCCAGGAGTTGCATCCGAACGGAGGGGAACAAACAATGACATACAGCGGGGGCCAGTCCAGAACAAAAACTTCACGAGAAACCTAACCCTGAGACCCCAGGAGGTCCACTGATTCTTGGTGTGGGCACGTCACGTGTTCCCACAGCAAGACCATCGAAACCCAAGAAACCCAGGGCACCCTGGAGGCAAGCAGGCTGTTGCTTGGCACGGGTCTCCACTGTAGAAACAAAAACTCGGAGGGCCGCGCGGATTTCCCGGATCGGCGCTTGACCCCCTTCCCTGGCGCGCGGAGCGCGCCAGGCGCGGCGCCAGAGGCGTCCAGCGCGGATCCGAGAAATCCGCACGGCCCTCCGAGTTTTGTTTGCTTCTGTCATTGCTCATTCCCTTAATCCGAGGCCCCTGATGGCCATGCCGGGCATGGTGGTGGTGGTGGTCGCCCCGCCCGGGCCGCAGGGCCGTTGAACACAACAATAAACGGGCTCGGGATCCATGACTGGAGGCATCCCAGCGGGGGTCCGAATAGATGGCGTCGGAGGATCGCGCCGCATTTATCCGATGCATCGCGGCTGCCTTGGCGATGCATTGGCGACGTCGGCGACGCATCGGAGCCGCAGGCGTGAAGAAAATCGGGCTCCACGTCGAGCCGCGTCGCCGATGCATCGGCGATGCGGCGCGATCCTCTGATCCCAATCAACTCTGACCCCATCTGGGAGGTCCCAGGACCCGTCTCTGCCGAGATCTGCGACGTGCTACCAGAAGGAACGCCAATCATGACTGCCTGCGAAACCACCCCAACCCAACCCGACAACCCGAACTTCGGTTTGCGGGGTGTACGGGCTTCATATGTGCTTTTCCATGTTCCCAGCCCCCCTCCCCCCACTGGAAATGGAGGGCAAATCGGGGCCTTCGGGTTGGGTTGGGGTGGTCTGGTGGGCGATGAAATTCAAGAACGAAGGGGATTTTCTGGCCACTGCGAGCCTCGACCAAGAAGGCTCCCCGACTTCGACCGCGGGCACGGCCCTCAAACCAGAGCCCCTCCTCCATCCTCCTCCTCCTCCTCCTCCTCCTCCTCCTCCTCCTCCTACTCCTCTTCCTCCTCCTCCTCCTCCTTCACCTCCTCCTCCACCTTCTCCTCTCCTCATCCTCCTCCTCATCCTCCTCCTCTCCTCCTCCCTCCTCCTACTACCTCCCTCCTACATCCCTCCCTCCTCCCTCGCATCCCTCCTACCTTCCTCCCTCCTCCCTCCCTCCCTCCTCCCTTCTCCCTCCCCTCCAAATCCTTCCTCCTCTCCTCCTCCTCATAGTCCTCGTCCTCGTCCTCGTCCTCCTCATCGTTCCTCGTTCTCCTCATCTCATCCTCCTCCTCCTCCTCCTCCTCCTCCTCCTCCTCCTCCTCCTCCTCCTCCTCCTGCTCCTCTGCGCGGCCCGACGACGTCCGACCCCTCCGACCCTGAAGTGGCTCTGACTTCTACGTCTTGATTGTATGTTAGACGCCCGAAGTGGGTACGGACAAAAGTGGTACAATACCCAACAACAAATGCTGCCCAAAACCGACGGCGGCCGCTGTTGGGCAGGCGGCTGTCCGCGGCGGCGCGGACAGCGAGCCCTGTTCGAAATAGAAACGAGGACTGCTGATGGGCATCGTGCCCATTCTTCCCGTGCCCGCTTCGATCGTCCCGATGTTCGGGAGCGGCCAAGAGGGGGGCGTCCAAGAGGGGGGGGGGGGGCAAATCATGGCCGGACGCATGTGTGCGGCCAGGGGGGGGGGGGGGGGGGCAAGAAACGTATGAAACAAGAGAGGGCCATTGAACTCTGGGGAGCACATCCTGGCCCACCCGCCATGATTATACCCCCCCCCCTGGTCCTCACCCCCCTCTTTGCCGCCCCCGAGATTCGGCTACACGCAAGAGTGACCCTGGGTGAGAGTGACCTTTGCTGCGCGGCTTTTTGGGGGCCGCGTGGGGGCCAAACCTGGGCGCGCAAGCCGCTGCTCCTGCTTCGTTTCCAGCCATCTGGGGACCCACCCGTGCCCGCACCAACGGTCACTCCGGCGAAAGGTCACTCTTACGTCTAGTCGAGGTATGATCCCCGTCCAGGCCTCGCCGGCCGGGCACTCGGGCGTGCACTGCTGCTCCGCGGTGCTGTAGTACTCGTCCGCGCCGCACTCCGGGAGGGCCCCGCTCGGCAACGACGGCGGGTGCGCCGCGTCCTGGATGACGGCGCGGGCACCGCCTGGCCACTGGATCTCCTCCGCCGCGAGCCGAGAGGGGGCCCCCAGGAATCAGGACCTGGGCACCCTTCGAGCAGGAGGTCGACTGCAGAACTGGTGCACCCCAACGTGATTGAGTGGTCGGAGGTACAACAACAGACGTAGAGTTTTCGCAGAGGTGCGGAACATTCGAATGATTCTTAACAGATTCGACGAACAACAAACATGGGGTAAATCAACTATGTACGTAAGCGATCCCTTACTCGAACCCTGGGGCTCCCCTCGACCGGCTTGCCTGAGAAACAACGTTGGGGGGGGGCCGGCTCAGGGGGGCGAAGCATCGACAGTGGAATGGGGTACGCCTCGCCGACAGAACCTCGCTAGCGGCGTGACCCCAATAGGGAGCCCCAGCGTGCCCGGGCGGAGTGGGCAGTCGGCCTCTCTCGGCGAGCCGTGGGCGATTCGGGGTCGACGCCTCCCCCCTGAGCCATCCCCCCTAACAATGCCCCAGATTTCCATCCACGCAGAGTTGCTTCTACAGGGCAAAGTTTAATACATAGGATGTTTAAACCTATAGGATTTTAATACATGATTAACGTATGAATGAATTTGTGCATGCACGCATCGTTGTTTCTGATACTAGGCCCCTGCATGTTTAATACATGATCCGCACGCGGAGCATGTATAAAAAAACGGCACTGTACCCTGAAGTCCAACGTTGTGAACATATGCGGCATCGCAAGAAATCACGACCAGAGACCTGGACCCGGTCTCTCTGCGTCATTTCCCGAGCCAGACCGATCTGAGATAGTCCTGAGGTCCAGCACCTGTCGAAAGCACCCCAGATTGTAGGGTTGAACGGCGCATGGGGTTGGTCGGGCGCGTCCTCCTACAGGCGGATTGTTTGACGAAATTGTTTTAAACACAATCGAAACATGTTTAAAAATAGTCACAAATCAGCTCCAGACTATTTTTTTGACTGTTTTTTTAACATTCCCTCAGTAGAGGGACAGGCCCGATTTGAGCATGGGGCCAACAAGCGGGCCCCGAGAAGCCGAGGCTCACGCAACAAAGACACGGCACGGCTGGGCCCTGCGTCCCTGCAGAGGAGACTCTTTCTGCTTCCGGGCACGGTCGTTCACCACCGGGGGGGCGGGGGAGACGAGGGGCCCCAGGCAGGGGCGGGAGAGCCAGGAGTCGAATCGTTAGTTACCAGCCTCGAACGTATCCCTATCCCTAAGATTGACACGCCAAAAGGCGATGACAATCTTAGGGATTCGCCCTCAAACAAAAGGGAATCCCTAAGATTGGCATCGTGATGAGGAGGTGCCCAGCATAGGGATAGGGATATGTTCCAGGCTGGTAAGATAGGTCGGATCGGCGATCGGAGCGAATCGGATCGGCGGAAATCGGCAGCCAAGTCGGGACACATCGAATCGGCAGACATCGGCAGGCTGGTATGCCTCCACTGAGAAATCGGAACCCAAATCGGAATCCCAAGTCGAATCGAATCGGAATCGGAAGCCATCGAAGTTGAATTGAATCGAATCGGAGGAATCGAACCAAGCCCTGCAAGGGTAACGCTTGCGCGGGATGGGGCAAGTCGGGGCGGGGATGCGCTGCAATCGCCCTGGTACGCGCACGAGCACGAGCATGCATGCGTGGGGGGGGGGGCCAGCGATCGCCGAGACACAAGACTCGCCGTCGGGTTACTCCTGATTCGTAAGAAAAGGGAGGGGGTCTTGGACCCTCCAGACCAAACCATTTCTGACCACCACCGTGGGTATACCCTAATTAACTTCGCCCCAGGACCCCCCCTCAACCAGGAAATCGGTGGGAGAACGGGGAAATTTGAGACAGAGGGGGGGTGGGTAAGGATTGTGTCGGTTCGTGCATGGGTTTTATATCTCTTTACTTTTATTTCTTTGTTTTTATTTTTGTTTTTTTATTTCTTTTTATATTCTTTATATTTTCTTTTTTTTTTTTATTCTTCTCCTTATTCTTTTTTCAATTTATTTTTCCCCCAAATCTATTTTCTTCTTATTGTTTTATCATCTATTTCCTTTTTTTTTTTCTCTTTTTTAATATTTTTTCTTTCTTTTTATTTTATTTTTTTTTTTCGTTTGTTCTTTCTCTTTTTTACCCCTTGTTTTTTTTTTGCACATTTCCAGGGGATAGCCTGGACGAGACCCCCCCCCGAAATGAGACCCCCGTCCCTTTATTACGAAATCTGGAGTACCATCCCAACGTCGGACGAGCCGAGGAGGCACGTCCGCTGGCCGCACTGGGCGAGGGCGCACAACGCGGCGCTGCAGGCCGCGCGGTCCGGGGCGCGCCCCCCCGACGCCGCTGCACAACGGCAGGTCTCATGCCCCAGGGCCCCCCCCCCCTCGTAGGATCGTTGCCCGCTGCGCGCCAGAGGATGAGCAGCAGCGTCACATGGGCTCACGGGCCACGGGCGGCTCCTGCCCGATCTGCCAGGCGTAGCCGCTGGTGAGGCTCCACCGGGCCACGCGGCTCGCCTCGAGTGACCCGCTCTGCCAGTTGAAGAAGTCCATGGGCAGGATGCGCTCCTGTCGGAAGCTGGGCGAAAGCTGGCAAATCCGTGTCTGCTGAAACGGTCTTCGTGGAAGAGAACAGCTAAATCCCAGAAACAAACTCAGCGCATTAAATAATTAACGGACTGCTTCCCAAAAAAGAAAACAAAGTCCTTGAGCTTCGCCTGGCTTCTGAGATTCGTCATCACGAAGTGGTGGGTCTGACGCAGATGGGTCCGAAGGGATGGGCGCCATAGTGCTTGTAATAGCTGGTACCTGGATGCAATGCTTTGCGCGCTGGTCGCGCGTGGATGCAGTTGTGTAGCTACTAACGCACGCAATAGCTGGTGCCCGTGCAATACTTAGCGGGCCCCCGCTATGTTTTCGTACTGTCGTGCGCAGTGGTGCACAATTAACTAACGATTGCACCTCTCGCCAACGACCGATCTGCGCCAGGCCCACGAAGCCAGCTTAGATGATGCATTCGATCCCGGCGTTCCTCTTAGATTTCGGCCCCTGGGGCCCGTCATCGGGACCCCGACCATCTCACATGGATCCGGGCGAAAAGCTGGCCCCAACGCAGCAGGTCAGACGCCAGCGGCGCTTGCAGCGGATGCGGTGTGCCTGTCCATTGTTGTTTCCAGATGGATTCCGTGCTTGCGACGCGGTAGTTCGTGAGGCCTCCCAGCGCATCGAGTTTGGTTGCCAACAGAAGGAATCATTGCACAAAACTCATAAACCTCAGATGACAATTCCCATGACAAACGCGTTCCGTCGCCCCCCCCCGGCCCTCCTCCACGAGGACCGTATGACCCGCCCCCGTCCCAATTAGGACCCCCTCTCCATAGGTCAGGAGGCAACCACTGGGGGGTCTTCGTCGGAAGGATCAACGAGAATGAAACCCCTCTGGGCGGCTGTAGCGCTGGGGTGGGCCCTGAACTAAGCGGAATTAAGCCGAATTTAAAAGGATCAAGCGGTATCTTACCGGATCAGGCGGGATTAAGCCGGATTAAACCGGATTTAGGACCAGGGCAAAATCAGAATTAGACATCCCAGGAATTGCATCCGAACGTACGCGGTGATCCACGGGGTCCTGCTTGGGGGGTCGGGGCATTCCTTGTAAAATCCACCCTTGCCCCCGGCCCAAACACCCTGGGTCACCAGGTCGGGAGTGGGGGTCCTTGCTGGGGGTGGGGGTGGGCTGTGCTGTCTCCACTCTGCGCGACCGCTCAGGCGCGATGGCAGACCCGGGCGGCAACGCAGCTGGACCAAGACAGCAACAACAACAACAACAACAACAACAATTACTAGCACGTGGGGACACTCCGTTCTCACCAGTGCCAGGGTTTTCATACGACGCCCGCCAATACCCCCACTTTGTGGGGGGGCCGGTTCAAGCTCTACCACATTTCCAAACGACTCTTCGCCACCACCCACACCCAGCTTCCCGCCCTATGACGTTCGGACACTTCACTTCGTGGCATGCGGACGACCGTGGCTACTATTCAGGGCCCCGCGGCCGACGACGACGGCGTGCGCGCGCGAAGAAAAAACGAATGTGTCCCGCATGGTATTATTTGACAGGGATGATGGCCCTGGCAGGTGCGCAACCGTTGTTGCAGAAGTTCGAAAAAGTTGCTCGCAAAAGCCCGTTTGACAGAAATGTTTAAAAAGTGTTGGGTTTCCTACGAATCCGCAAGAGCGCGCGGATGAAATTTTGACATTTTTTTTTGAAAAACCATTGTTTTTTTTTATGTTTTTATGTTAAAATCGCTACGAAAACTAAGGTTTTGGAAGGATTTCGTCTTGCGCGCGCGAATGTCCACTTTACCTTATTTTTTGCAAGGGATTCTTGAAGTTTGGTTATGTTAGAACAAGAAATGTCCACTTTAGCTCATTTTTTGCAAGGGGAAAACCGATCGTAACAACACAACCGGATCCGGACTCCCCCGTTGTGCCTGAGACTTCCTCACGAAAATGATGAAAATGAGGCTGCGGCCTAGGCGCGGCGGGGGGGTCGTGCACCAGGGGTCCCAACAATAATTTTCTTAAGAAGTAATAATGTTCAACAACAACAACAACAACAACAACAACAACAACAAACGCAAACACGGGCTGCGGCCCCGTGACCATGGGTCGCAGCCTGGGCTTCCCCCCGGCATGGTGAAAACCCAAGCGCGACACCACCCCCCATGCCATGACAGCGTCTTGTACCCGAAGCGTTGCACAGGGTGCCACAAACGATCCCTCACCGATTTGAATGCGGTCACCACAGCAAAATCCTTAACCAATAATGGTTCATGAATGAACCTTGCAAACGGAAATTATGATACACAACATAAACTGCAAACGAAACATTCGTATACATTCCTTGGCCAAAAGCGTTGCCCAATAATCATTCGTAAAGATTCCGTAATAATCGATCGTTCGCGAACACTCCTCGGCAACGAATCCTCAATAAGAAATCTTCGATGCGGAATCAGTAATGAAGAATTTGGCTTGGGAGCCCCTGATTCAAACATCTGAATCAAGAGCCCGTGGTGAAGAATCTTTCGCGGATCACCAGGGAAGTTTTATTCGTTAGGAATCCTTCGCCATGAGTCCTCCGCATCGAAATCTCAGTGCGGAACGCGTAACCGAGCAAATGAAAAATGAAGCATGAAGAAGCTATCCCCAATGGAGAAGCATGAGAGAAAGAACTTGAAAACACCATCCTTAGTCTAGAACCCACTGCAAAGACTTCTGCATCGTGCTACTTTCATGCAGAATCTTGGCTAAACAATCCTTGCGCAAAAGGTCCTGGGTAAAGACTCGTCACGGAAGAACCATTGGTCAAGAACCCTACATGACAAATCCTTACGACGGAATCCTGAATGAAGACTCCTTACCACGAACTCCTCAAAAAAAAACGCTTAACAAAGAACGGCTCACACAGAACCTGGAATACGGACGCTTGAATACATCCAGACGAAAGGATTTTCCGCTACAGCAATCAATCGTCAAAAACCATGACCCATGACCCATGGGGCCAGAATCTGGACTGAGGAAGCTTGAAAACGGAATCCTTAAAGAAGAACCCAAACGGACAAAAACAAAATCGTGGATCCTCACTGGAACATCTTTAGCCAATACCCATCAAAACCGAATCCTTCACACAAAAAATCAATACTGAACAGGTGCGACAACGACGGTAGGACCCAGGGTAAGGAACCCTTTCGTAAAGAATTCTGCTCGGGTAATCCTTAGTCAAGAAACCCAGCAATGAGTTCTTAGTAAAGAGTCCATCGACGGAAACCGTTGATAAAGAAGCTGGCGCAAAAATTCTGCAAAAAAGAAATCATGTCCAGGATCCCTTGGTCAAGAAACCTGAAGCAAATCTCATCCGTAAGGGGCCCGTGCGAATAAATCCCCAAACTGAAACCTTCGATTGGGGGAACTGAACGCGGATTTGTTTCATATAAAAAACTTACATGCGGAATCGTGACAAAGAGCCTCCAGCTACGGGGTTACCCGGAAGGACGCCTTAAGTAGGAAACCGCGCTGAGGAAGTCCGCGCAAGCAATCCTTAATGCGGATTCCTCCCCAAATGATATGGACAACAGCACCCGCTTTAAGGAATCTGTCGTAGGGCAACCTTTTTTCGGCAGAGCCTTTTCGAAATGAATAAGCTGCAACACAACACCATTGCGTGGGAACCCGCACTCGAAATCATGTATCGAAGCATCCTCACTACACAATCCGTACTGGATGATCCATAATTCTTGGTCGGGGTCCGAATCAAGACTCCTTCATACGGGGTCCTTACGGTAAAACCAATTACTAATCCTTACGATATCCTGCCGAACGAGCCTGTGGGAAATACTCCGTACTAAAACACACATGATACAGATTCCTTGATGGCCAAACCTGATTGAATAAGTATTCCCTAATATGGATTCCGTATTTTTTTCCTATAACTACGGCTGGATGAACTACAGACAACGAACGTTGGCAAGGTAATGACTGATTCGTTACTACGGAATCACGGAATCAGTCGTTCCAGAAATAGGGTATAGACACCTCATCGGCAAATCCCGCGTGCAAAAACTGTTGCCAAAAAATTGTTTCGGCTTCCGTCTGAAATCCGGCATGGAATTCGCAAGAGCCCTCACGAATCCCCTTGGGTTCCCTCAGGAATCCGCAAGAGCCGTGGGAACCTTGAAACATATCTTACACATTCGTGTGGATCTTGACAAATCCCTCCATGACCTGTAGGACCGGAAGAATCCTGAAGGAATCCGGGGTCAAGCTCAGGAACCCTTCGCGCAGCCTCAAGAATCCACCAAAATCCACAAACATTTCACAGATTCTTTTTTTTGGATTTTTGCACAAATCCTCAAACATAATTTTCTACATTTTCGAACATCCTCACTGAATCTTTCGGGTTCCACACGGGTCGTTTTTGTTGCCAGAATCCTTCAGGATCGTCGAGAACCATGGGATACATCAGAAGCCCTTTTGTGACCTGGACGGCTCTTCCAGAATCCCCCGGAATTCTCAAACATCTGGGGAAACCCCAACAGTCCTGGAAGCACTGAGAACTCCTGAAAAACCCCTCAAGACTCCTGTGGGAATCCTCGGGAAACTTCAATCACCCAAGAAACTCCTTAAGGAACCCATACTGGAATAGTTCAGGAATCCATCAACAATCCTCACCAAGAGTTTTTTTTTGTACTGGAGGGGGTAGCGCCCGTTACGGGGGGGGGGTCCGGCCCCAAGTTGGGGGTAACGGTAACGCGCGGCGGGGCCCTCGCACGGGCCCTGGTGCTTATTACCAGCACAACTGTCGGCGCGGTAGGCTTCGTCGTCGTCGTCGTCGTCGCCGCCGCTGTCGTCGTCGAAGCCGACCGTGCCTGTGCACACTACACAAGCTCTGTACACCGCGATTCCTTTGTACACCACAATTGCGGCAGAAATGATATGTGTGTGCACCACGGCGACTGAGCACATCATGACAGGCGGGTGCACCACAGCGCCTTTGTACATCTCACTGTTGG